ACGTAAATGCACACTAGTTGTATTATTCTCAGGAAAACATCTCATCTGTGATCTTGAAATTAGATAAAAATTAAGGTCCAATAGGAAAAGGTAGCTCTTAGCGTAGACTTAAATTCTTTCTTCAGCAATTAAATGCTACTAATGTGTTTCTTATAAACCCTTTGTACACGGAACTCTAAATTTGGTTAAATACGCACGCTTAATACCGGTTTAACCACATAAATTTTTAATCAAAATGTTTACAGCGAAATCAAAATGACGTCATCTTTTTGTTGCACACCCATTTATTGCCGAAGCTGTTGCCTATGTGGTTCTATCGTCAGTATATAAGGAAACTAGTCATCATATACCTACGCATGTAAAAACAATCGTTTTGTTATGATGTAATAATACTTGTAGTATGAGTGAATCTTTATTCGAAAGTTTTGAAGCTTCGAGTAGGTGCCTAGTATTTGCTGCTTTATTAACTTTAGAGACTGGCAAATCTGGCTCGCCTTTAAAATGGACTTTAAAACAATGAATTAAGAGTTACGCTAAATAGAAACCGTTGGTTGCAAATTACCTACTGCAGGTGCAACCCTGACGCTCACCATGAATTTCAGATCATCCACAAGATAAAGAAAATACTACACATCATTCGTTTGAAAATGAGGCAACATGAAGAGAGGATTTTCTAAATATCTACTGTACGTAAAAAGTTTAGGGGCTAAACCCTTATACTTTTATGTAAGTATAAGTAATGATATAATTTTAAGGGCCTGTTTCAACGCCTTCACGTAGGCTCCCGATAAACTTACATTTTATTAAAAAAATAAGATTTTATTGTAACTAAAATAACCGCGATAATGTTGTGTTGTGCAGGATTGTCGCTGATTGTACCTTCTTTTGTCTTTGACCTTGCATCAAAAATGACAGTAAAAAAGCTACAAATCCGGTACTCAGCAGACATCTGTCGGATACTTCACTGTTCAGTGAATTCATCTTAATTATTGACTCCGGTTACTCTTGCTCTCCACCTGGCCAGTGACACACACAGCTAATTTGACAAAATGGTGTCTTTTTTGGACCTTCTTAATGTAAAACCAGAGTCTAGCATTTTTATTGTAGCGTGATGTTTTATAGCTTATAGCACTCAAGAACATTGTAGCTATCTTTCAGTGAAAGAATTTTGGCAATTCGACCAGCGGTTCCAAAGATTACCCCCTACATAAAAACTAACAAATTTTACCTCCTTATTATTAGTAGAGACAAAGATTTATATTAATTATTAATGTAAACAGTATTAAGTAGTAACACGTGTCTGACTTAAACTTATGTTCAAATCGTATGTAGGTATAGTCGAACATTCTTTACACTTGCAAATTACATACCTATAATCGTTATTATTGTTACAAAAATATCCAGATATTTAAGGGGTCTAATAATAGCAGACTTTTTAAAGTTTTGAAGTCATTACAAGCTGGTATCATACGCACCTAGAATAACAATGTAAAAGGTATCTTTCTTCTTCTTCTTTAATCTTTTTAAATGATAGGAACATTTACATGATAGGGATTCAGAGATTGGACTAGGTAACTGATTAAAGTATCACCAGAAGAAACGTGTAATTGATATAACAGTACCACATGTGCATATTGTGAAAGTTGAAGAAGATAAGGAAATCACGAGGTTGTCGACATGTGGGATGTTTACTCAATAATTATTGTTGCCAAGTGTCAGCCAACCTGGGAGACCAAAGAGATGACCTTCCTTGCAGTGAATTACTGTATATAGTTAATAGTAATTTATTTAAGTATACAAGTACAACATGAACATAGTTTTGTGGATGTATACCGCTGGTTTTGCGTGTACTAAGTAATGTAATGTTCCTAAAATATTTCTAAATGTGCAAAGAGTGTAAAAAAATAATACTTAGTTGTTTTTAAGTAAGGACTATAATGATTTGTATCTTGATATATTGCATTAATTAGGCTATAACAAGTCTCTGTTGTATGCAGAGTAAAGGCCAAATGGAAAAAGGTACGACGACAACACTTGTCGAATACTTTTTGAAATATAAAAAGAAATACCTACAAAACAATCAAATTTCAACCACAACGACCGAGTCTTTAAAAAGAATAATCGGATAATTCTGGACACAAAAAAACGAAATGTACATATTTACGTCTGCAAACTGACTACTGATCCTTTGTGGCGCCAGCGCGTGGAATGTTCGCAAGGCCCACAAGGGAAAACGGGCGTGAAGATTAAATGTATAATAAATAAAGTTAAAAGTTATCGCATACCTTATGTAGCAAGTGCATACTTGTGTTTGAGTTCCTCGTTGCCAAACAGCTTGCAGTTTTGATAGCGACAAGTTTCAAGTGAATCTTCACTGCTCATGACTAACCGATTTCCTTTATAATAAGTACGTAAACATTTCAAATTGTAATTGTTATTCCGACCACGCACTGTTATTTATACTAGCTTTTGTAAACAACTTTTAGATTGCATTCTTCTTGCTTACCGATTTTTGTGATCATTTTATTTTAGTTGTACCTAATATATCTAATAGTCAATTGTAGTAAACAATACATTTAAAACAATAGCATTTAAATTCCGTATTCCAACTGCAAATGATTGTTCAATTAAACATAACGCATACGGATTACTAAAATATCTTTCGTTATTAACTACATGTATTTATTACTATCCTGGCACTTTCTTAGGACAAATAAAATGTGGCGCATCATTCCAGTCTTAACAAACGTTCGCGTCTATGTAGGATAAAAAATGCATATTTAACAAAATATTCGCATGTACAAACATATGCATACATTAGGTAGGTATGTAAACAAAAATGATCAATCACTAATGGTACCTACTTACATAAGACACCTAGGCGTTTTAGTAGTGCTTAATTGGTGAGGTTTATACTACAACTACGCATGTACATATGTATTGCGAAAATTATTAAGGATTATTTGATTTACTATTAACATAATTATATCATGCTTCTTCGGTCACGTGGGGTGTAAGTATGCCAGCTGACAAGAAAAGGATGCTGAACAGATCATGCGCAAGACCAAAGTCAGTACGTGGTTTGCGAGGCACAGTGACAACAGCTTAACTTCGGTAGTCCAGGCTACCAGTGATAATTTGTAACCAGAAAAATCCATTAGCACTTTTTGTCTGACAGACGTAGAAAGCAGCCAGTCACACACAGTTCTTAGCTATATAATAGTAGTATTATAAAGACCTATTGGGGTTTAGCCTATTCCTACTGCAAAATCATCATCCTGATATATTACAAATTGTCCTGTTTCAAGGATCAAAACCGAAATCGCTTTGGGTGGGCATCGCACGTCCCTAAACTGCACAAAGCATATAACTTTTTGTTACTAAATAATCCACAGATAGACTGAAAAATAAGTATAATTCTATCCTAGATAGGATAAAAGTATGCGTATATACTAAAAAGGTAGTTATCAAGTGAAATGGTAGTAAATGGTTTAGTTTTACTTGTAGAATTTTTGTTGTTATAGGATTGGGGTTATATGTACTTTCTATGATTATTTAGACACTACTGGCATACGTCATAATCGTAAACAAACCTGGAAAAGTTTCAAATCGCCAATCCGCCTTGAGCAAGCGTATTTAATGCTCAAACCTTCTCCGTGTGAGAAACGGCCTTTGCTCACAGTAAGCGCTTGTAGGATGATGATGTGTGTCATAGGATTGGGGCTATAATACGGTTGTTTCCAACTAGTCAAATTCAATACTTTTATTCAAATGTCAAAAACGATACTTTTCTATGAAAATTGTATGAAACATTGAATTATGACGTGATAGCATTTTTGCGTCAAATAGCTTACTTATTTTTAAAAAATTAGCTAAGAAATATCTAAAACTTAGTGTATCGATCGATCGATGAATAAAAATAAAGTTATTTTTCAATATTTTATCGTATTAAAACGTCGAATTAATTTATTTTTGACCTAGGAAACTACCCAATTGATCCATTAGAATGAGAAATATTAGTCAAATTGAATATCTTTTTAAAATGTAAAAAAATGATACCAATTATTAAAAAGACATCAATGAATGAGATAGTACTATAGATACTACTTATGTTTAGATAGGTATTCTAAATGTTTGATATGTTTGACAACACCATCTTCCCTATAAAATACTCCGTTGTTTTATAAACAAAGTCGTGATCTGGATCCATCCTGAACAATCCTCGTCAATTGCAGCTTGAAAAGATAATTAATTATAGTAAATGCCTAAATAAATTTATGATTTAGATCAATTATAGTTAATTTTACAAAGCAGTAAACTCGATTTTGAGGTTTTATATTTTATGTTCAGTAAGTAATTTAGGTGTTATCACTCCATTAAAATAATTATAATTATATCTGTCTATATACATATTTGTTATATGTTGTGTTTACGTATCTATAGGTATAAATAAAAATGGATACACAATATTTTATTTTGTTAACTTCAAAAAGCGCCGAGGTTTTAAGGAAAAGGACTAGGGAGGGTGGGATTCTTACCTCACTAAAACCTTCCCGGAAGTCACCATCAACATCTGTAAAGGAGGCCGGGTCCTTTTGTAAGCCAACTCCGGAGTTCCTACGGAATCCTAAATTCCTATGGTTCTGACATAACATTTGGATGGCTAGACCGATTCTTATACTATATTGTGCTTTTCGATAACACATCACTCACACATTCATAATCAGCCTAAAAATAAAAAAATTCTTTAAAAATCTTAAAACCATTAAATAATATAATTCAATAAAAAATTCATCGAAATAACTAGTTAGGTATGTAGTACAATTTATTTACTCAATACACAAACAAAAAATGAAAACAAACAAAATAACACTTCTCTTTCCCACATTAAGAAAAGAACAGTTTTGGACAGTAAAATGTAAATGTATTTTCTTTCATATTGGATGAAAATGAAAACCGAATCCATGATTACAATTATTTCTGTTATTTTATATATAAAAATGGATCGCAAAATATGTTGGTAAGCGCATAACTCAATAATGCCTGGACCAATTCTACTGATTGTTTTTTTGTTCTGTGTGTTATTGTCAGAAGAAGGTTCTTATGAAAGAAAATTTAAGGAAAGTAGAGGGGAAAGTCGGGTTATAGGGACCCTTTCATCATAAGCGAGACGATAAGACCCGAGCGAAGCAGGGGCAAGCTGCTAGTGTTTTATGAATATTAAATCAAGTATTGCACTTCGCAAGTCTAAAATGCGGAAACAATCTCGAAGTCTCTGAAATTGAGGATAATTATTAATTTACACATATAGATACGGGATGTGCAGTTTGTCTATGTCTCTATGGCAAGCTTGAAGATATTAAGTTATATGTTATCTAAGAGGTTTAACGATTTTTTACTAGTATGTGGTTCACAAGGAAAACCGCTAAGACATCAAGTGCAGAATGAGCAAATACCAATCGCATTTTGGCAAATTTTAACAATACCATGATTAGTGTTGGCCCGCGAGCTATTTTTTTGTTCAGTGTTTACTCGCGTGTTGATATCATTTGTCGTATTATTGAAAAAATGTATAATAAGACAGTGAGAAGTTTTTGTAGTGATTGTTTTAGGAAATCATACAGGTTTTAAACAATGCTATAGTTTAAAAACGTACATGGTATATGACTACAGCCTTTTCAACATTTTCTTTGTTATTATAAACTTTATTATTTTAGATGTGCGCACAGTATTTAACGCGTTGATGTCTTTCGTAGCGCGCAGCGTAGCTACAACATTTAGATTTTTGATGAAATGACAAATACTCATCGTTTAGCCATCACGCATGTTTGAATATGTTTAAATATTACGATGATGTTATACAACTATTGTTCATCAAATGTCAAAGTACCTTCTGAAGAGTTTGCTGCTTTAATCGGCATTTCTACTGAAATGTGTTCTGAATATTTCACAAAATGGATATGGGCTAAGAGTGGTGCATGCAGCAGAGGGTTGGAGTGACCGTGAGGGTTACGGGAGAGGCGTGAGGGTGAGGGGGCGCGCTCGGGCGGCTGGTGGGCGCACGGCTATAAGTAAGAGGTGCGCGCGCGCCGGCGAAGTTAGTCGCCGAACGGCAGCGCGTCGTCAGCGGTGTCACCCGCTCTCCCCCCTCCGGTGCGTTCCACCCCTACCTACTCCCCCACACGCACTCGCCTTTCTCACACGATCACCGGCGATTCTCACTTGCGCAACCCGAGTCGAAACCGAAAGGTCGCCGCTATTGGCATTTAAGCGCTCTCTGACATTAGCGTTGCATTTAAATGTGCGATGCAGCTTCCTCGTTGAGCTTCACTGTCGCAACTTGTGTCGCTTGGGAAAGGCGCGTGTGTTGACGTGACGTCTCTGTTGCAGCAGCAGCCCGAGCAGCCGGGCCGGCGTCCGCCAAACCTCCGCAGCCAACATGACCGCCAGGATAGCATTGTGAGTACACGCTCCGCCACTTCATGCTTCTTGATACTTCATGTTTTGTGTTTAGCTATTTCCACATGATCACTTTCTAACATCGTGCCTGAATAATTGCTGTAAGATAAGCGTAAATAAAAGTATAAACGAACGCAGTCGGGGCGTCTCATGCGGCCGGTCACTTTCATATTAAGTTGGCTGCAATGACTTGACTTATTGAAGTAATGACAGAGTTAAATCATCGATCGATATGATAAAAATTCGATCTGATTTCTCGTGTGGAAATCAGGTTTTCATTGCTCAACGGCAGCCAACTGACATCACGAATGAGGGCGCGTATTTCTCAATGAAGGCTGCGAAACATTGCTTTTAAAATATGCACGACTTTGTGCGCATATTGTCTCCCTGCAGGCGGCGCGCCCGCTCCACGCCACCACTCGAACCTCGTTACTTTACTCTTATTTGCATATCGCCGTATTTCATAATCTATAAATATCTTAATGAACCCGCTATTTCACCTCTTTAAAGGCGTGTTGCAAATAAGCCGCAAAAGCTAAATACCTATTGTGTTTCGTTGTTTTCGCCGCAAAAACTTCAGCCGGTGTATTGCGGGTACAGCTTTATGTGGAGTGTAAGCAGCGTTACGCGTCGTTTTCCTTGTTTCATGATTTTCTCCAATCACTAATAAACATGTACGAATAAACTTGTCACTTGCCAGTTGATTTCGATACAAACTATAAACTACGATAGACTTATTGAGTTAAAAAATTAACAAGTCGCGGGTGAAGAGATTTCGCAACGTGAGAGCCTTAATACATTCACTCCTCACACCAAGCGTCATTACAGCGGGTACTAATATAAAAGGCATCAATAAAATATCGTTGAATTAACGAGTTCCAGTGATGTAAACATCGCTAAGTGACCGGACGAGGAGACAACTTCTGTAATAATTTTAGATAAGTGTCGTGGGTGTGACGGTGCGTGTGACGAGTATGATCTAACACGAGCCATTGTCAAAGCTCTCTCCAGTTGCAACATGATGTTAAATGGCGTCGCGGATGCGGCACTTATACATATTAAGTCCTGCCAACTGTCGCCGCTAACACTGGCCAGCGTCGACATATTGTTCACAATACACAGAAGCGTGTGATAAACGAAAGCGTTCCTAACGAACCTCCTCTGAGTTTTCACCGCGTGCACAGATTCAAATCATAAATCACAAATCAGCATTCTTTAATTGCAACGTTAAGAAAATCTTGCTACTTGTCCAGTGAAACCAGACAACAACATTGTTATATTTATTATAACATCTCATCAATTAGTTCCCCAAACTGTTACGTGTCATTTTAAGCTTTTTGTGGTGGGTTTTTCCTGGTCTGCCAGTTTGGGTGGTAGGTATCGGTATATACAAATTAAAATTATTGTGAATTTTATCAAGGCTGTATTAAATTGGAATGATATCGACGGATTTAGTTTGCGGTTCGACGTGACCTCAGGTTACATACGTTGAATTAAATGTTAGTTTTTTTGGAATCTTCGATCATTTCTAGGAATTTATTTTTTAATACTTTGTTTATTTCTTGACCAGTAACTTTTGTAATTTCTTGCGGGTTAATTCAAAATCCCAGTATTTGGAGATCAATTTACGCAATATTCTGCGTAAACTTACCGAAACTAAAATTATTTAAGAATGTTTTGTATGAGTTCCGAGAATGTCAATCAAAACATTCAATTCACAATGCCCTTAATAATAACTCAACTATGTATATAAAAATCAATGCCACTTTTCGTTCTAATGTTATAACTTAACAATGCCTTTGCCGATTTGGCTAAAATTGATTTTAAATTATTCGTGAAAGTCCAAAGAAGGTATTTGTACGTAGCAAAAATTAAAAAAATCTTTGTAAATGAAAATGTTTTAAGTTTACATCCACAAACTTCATGGACCAGAATCTTCTTTTTCTTACTTTCCTTCGTATAAACGAAAAGCGTCTTTTTGTATGTTAATGTATGCCTTAAATCGGCGTTTTAATCTAAAATTTAACTTTGTATGATCGAGATGGTTAAGTAAGAACAAAAAGTCGCGGAGTTGTATTACATTTATTAAAAAATCAATCCCTTTCTCGAGTTTTCAGAACTACCTTTATGTCAGAAAAGATTGAGTGAGTACCTCAAGTTTACGTATTGGGCTCCGAAGGGTCGATCATTGACCCTTTTCCCTGGCACTTCATTTGGTACCTGCTCAAGAATATAATTTATAATTAGAAATGTGAATCGTAATGACGTTTCACAAATTTAAAAAAGAGACGACCCTAGTATTTTTTCTTCGAGCTATTTATATCCGTATTATTGCAGATACAAGGAGAATTTACACTTGCGATGGAATTATTCATTTAAAGTAGCTTGAACAGGTGAAAAACAAAGTTATGGCAATAAAACAAATTAATAACTGTTCCAACCACAAATGGAGTTATGATAAATGCTTTTAACATAATTTCTTCGACTAAAAGCAAGGTCAAGACGGCCGTAAAGTTCTCGTGTTGCGTTTTAAGTGATCACGAAATACTTTTATTGCGTAGATATTGAAAGCGAAACAAAATATGAAATGAATACTTTAAGTTTTAATGGCGAGATAAAAATAAATAAACACGAATGATTGATATGTGACACGCTGGTTGAGAACGTGAACTAAACAGACGTACTTAAGTACTAACTACCGGATTCCTTTAAGTTGGAACTAAATATCAACAACACTGTTATTCAAAATGAAACATCTAAGTGGAGTTTAACAATTGTTGTCAGTTTACAAACACTAAACATTTTATAAAATTACCATTCGTACAGAATAATTGTCATTTCTTTTACGCAACAATAATAATATCTAACGTGCATTTAATGATTTATGTAATAGTATGTTTAATTGTACAACAGATAATGGTCATTGTCTGAAGGAAAGCAATTTGAACAATTAATCTGCGTGCCCCATGTTACGTGTGTGGTGAGACAATCGTTTTATTATAAACCTCAACTTCCTAATTAGGTAATATAAAACATTCCTAGATTACTTTCTCTATTAAAAAACTAACGTAACATATAGTGTCCAATGCTAAATTCGTCTAAGTGTTTTCTTACTGAATACAAATTAGAATGGGAATTTCTCCTTACTAAAAGATTTTCGATACGTCGACGATGTGTTAAAAGAAAGTCCATAAAACGTGACGATTGCTGTTTACGTCGCGTTCCGAGTTATGTCTGTTACATTTCAATAGGTAATCATTGGCTCGATAGTCCACGGCCCGCGGCCGTCATTCAGCGAGCGGCGCCCGCGCACCGTCACATAATAAAGATGTTTGTGGTCACGCTCCTCCTAACCGAGAATACTTGATTGCTTATAACAAGTTTGTTAAACTTTTAACACGACTATATAGAAATTTCCATTTCACAATACAAGTTCACTGTATTTTGTTCTTTAAATCAAATTTATAGAAATATTTAAAATACCGAGATCGTTAACAGAAATTGCATTATATCTCATTAATTATGTATAATGCTGGCCTTCAAATTAATATGCATTTAGTGACGATAGCTTAAAGAAGCTTTTGTTATGATTGACTCATCCACACCCAGGTGAAACCCACGTCAACCTAGACCTAATTATGAAATTAATTAGTTATTGTTGTTATAATTAGATACGTTCTAAAATAGATGAGAAACAGATAGGTTACTGGCATTCACATCCTATATGTTAATAGTTCATGGCCGTGAAGCTGTTTCTGATTACTTTTTAATTCAGATGTCAAGTCATTAAGAGACACGCGATATACAATTCTAAATAAGCTTGTTTTACGCCTATATTACGATCCGGTACAGTTGCGACTTGATCGGAGAATGGGTCACTATTATTATTTGGAGACACGTTGAAGGTCGGTCACATACGTCATTTTATTTCGTGTAAGCTGTTTCTGTAGATTTTTTGTATTATCATTATCCGTAAACTTAAGAACGTACAATAAGGTTATGCACTGACTTGTGTATGCTGTCTTCGTCCTAAGATAAAGTTTAGTGTCCATTTCTCTAGAAAACTTTCGAGTTATAATCTTAATTTTACGATTATCATTTGACACCGGTTCAATAAGTATCCAATGAAGAATGTAATACAAGTATTATGTACAGCAGGTGTGACAGCGTTGTTATATAAAAGCTTTGCTCATAACTTTAATTCTAATTGATGACGTACAATCTGTGTTCTTACATAAAACATTCACATGTTATATACATACATACGATACATACATACATGTGGTAGAATGTATTGTATGTAGGTATATGACATACCATTTCATCATAGTTAAGCTAGAGTTAAATCAGTTCGTAAGGCGTAGTTCATGTTGTTCTATTGTCCCGGCGCTTGCTCTTATTGTCCGGTGTGTTGCTCAACAACTAATTTGTCTTTAGTCTCTGCGAGCTCAAGATTAAACACGCTTGTTCTGTTTGTCGTTCATTGCTTTGAATTAAACATTATCGTTTATTTACTTCCGAAATTATAGCTGGAAAATTCTAACTTTGCAAGAACTATTATGTTCTGATCTCATCTAAAAGCAATCGTACATTAGCCCTCTTTATAATTAAATAACTGTAGTAATTGTATGTTTATTCAAGCATTTGGAAATTGTTTTTAATTATTCCTGAAATTATTGAATTTCCTATTCAAATAATTATATCATTTATTAATTGCTATGTATGCAAATGTTTCCTTAACTTGGTTCATTCTGTATGATTGATGGTGTCCATAAATACACATGTTAGTACGTTATTAATGGAGCTACTAAGCGTAAAAACGCCATTCTATTGTCTAACAGTCCACTTTGGTGTTTTATTGTTTAAATATTCTGTCAGCACTTCCACGTTTCACTGAATTATAATAGACCACACTCGAGTACAGTGCACTTACTTTTTACTGACTCTTGTTTATTCAGGCCCATGAAATATTGATAAAGAGTATTATTACGATAAAATTT